TTTTTTTTTTTTTTTTTTTTTTCGCAAAAAACCTGCTTCACTTTAAAGTTAAGCAGTTTAAGGTATTTGGTAAATAGAAAATATCCCGATTATTTTAAAAGCAATGGCCTTTTGACAGCAGCTTTTAAAAGCAGGTTTTGGGTTGCTTTTTAAAGCTGCTTTCAAAAGAAGCATAATGAACATTTAATGAATTTTTTTAATTCCCAAAATACCATCATTCATTTTAAAAAATGACACCACCTCCACTTCCACATCTAATTCCACCACTTGCACCACCACATTCACAACCTCCACAACCACCGCAACCGCCACCACCACCACATCCTCCTCCTCCTCATCCTCCATCACCACCACCACCACAACCTCCACCTCCTCTACCACCTCCTCCTCCACCTCCACCTTCACCTCCACCTCCACAACCACCACCACCACAACCAACATCACCACCACCACTACCACCACCACCACAACTGCCACCTCCTCCAAAACCTCCAAATACACCACAACCTCCACAACCACCACCACCACCACCACCTCCACAACCGCCATCCCCACCACCACCACCACTACCATAACCACCAACTCCACATTCATCACCACCACTACCTCCACTCCATCACTACCACTACCACCACATGATTAGTACATAACACTTTTAACATCAAGTTTATTTTAGTCATTATTCACAGTTACAACAATTTTATATTAAAATTTACCAAACGCTTTTATTTTAGTCATTATTCACAGTTACAATAATTTTATATTAAAATTTACCAAACATTTTTTACACTGCTTTTTGTACTAACAACAATTTAAAAATATTGTTTACCAAACATGGAGATGCTTTACTTTACAGCTAATTATTTTTAAAGCATAGCAGAAGCAACTTTTTTTAAAAGTGACAGCAATCCCAAACTGGGCCTTAGTTGGCTGAATAATCCCAAGATTTTAGTTAGTGTTCATGCTTATATGTACATGTAAGGATCTTTGCCATTTGCCATGTGATGAACCAAAGTCTTTCTTTTTTGGCAAGAAGCAAGCAAACTAACTCCATATCTAGCCAGTGGGGTATAACTCAGTTGATTGAGCTTTTCCACCTTCGCCTATGTGGGCAGAGGTTTGGTATGCTATAAAAAAAATCCATATCTATGGAGTTTGATCCGAATTTGAAATTGTATTTTAAGTTAACATGGAAGTTTCGTTTTTTTATTACTATTTACTCCTAGACTTAAAAAAAACACAGCCGAGTTAATAGAAATGACTAAAATTACGACATATGATCAAATTTAAGGGCTAAATTGAATTTTGAAAGTATTAACTTTTATGTTAATAAGATTCACATGAAATATCGAATGATCACAAACTGTGAGTGCTAATAACATTTCTCTTTTAACTTAGAATCATACCATAACTCACAATTAATATTGTTTGTTTTTGGGCGTGACAGAGAATGCCAATATGGTGGAAATGGTTCCATTGGTGTGCCGTGTGTCTTGGACCTTGCATGGTGAAACTGTTGAGGATTTTATAAAGGATTATTTTTGGGTACAGAGAAGAGTTTTTAGGTGGTGTTGCAATTGTGCTCTCGGGATTTCAGGGCTCATTTTCAATTGAAGTGTTGAACTTCCAAAAGAGGTGAAAACGTGTTATGTGCTTGCATTCAACTGAACGACTAAATGCAAATATCATGACTTCTTGTTTTGATCTGTTTGAAACTTCATAACCATCCAAATGACAATAAGGGCTTCCAAATTCAAGAAAATATCTTGATCTTGCAATGTGATTAAATGATTCGAACTGTTTCAAAAAAAAATAAACACCTAACAATTGGGGTTTCTACTTTATAAAGAAAAATATTAATAAATTATTGTTGTCCAACGACACGAGATTTAAATTCAGGACCTCTTTCAACGAAGCAGAAACTGATTGTGGTTAGACTTTCTACTTCAGTTAAGGTATTAGCATTGGCTGAGATCATGAAAATTATGGTTCAGCTAGAATGTGTGTATTTTATATTCAAGAAAATTTTAGTAAAGTATCCTCGTCATGATAATCGTTGTGATAAAAATGACTAATCTCAGAAAGGTTTTTGTTTCTTGCACAAATTGACCTTAGTCGCCTTCATACTTTACGAAAGGTAGACCAATAGAAAATTCTAGGTATATAAATAAATATTACTTTACGAAAGCTTTACCAAACTTTATTTCATCATAATTATTAGTTTTTATTAACTTTACAATGATGTTAAGTGGACCTTGAAATTGGGGCATCTTGATGTGAATCTCACGTCTCACACGCGTATAATCTAGGGTATTGTTTTTCTTTAGGAGTAATTTTTTGCTTGAAGAATGATGTGTCAACTTTTAAGTGCCTTAGATTAAATTTTAAGGAGGTGGCGTGTGGAGAGAAAAAGTAAAACAGATCATGGCAGAGAAAATCAGAGCAGAGGATCCGGATCCCATTAACAGACCTCATACGACTAAATTCAAACCCTCCACCAATCATATATTTTGGACAAGACATGACCGGAATGGATTTTCGACACCTTATACCTTCCCTACCAATGTACTCAACAATGACTTCCTTTCTCTCTTTTTTAGCATTCGTTGTCTATATATTTCGAAATTCAAAGTTTGGTAAAGTCCATTGCCCAAGTGACAAAAGAAAAAAAGTTAAGACAGATAGAGAGACCCGTCTCATAATATCTAAGCCGTTTCAGTTCAATTATTCATGATAGTAAGTTGGTATGAACAGAGCATGAATGGTGATATAAACATTTCAGTCCTTGTATAGGGCCTTTTAGGATCAGGTATGGAAGTCTTTTCGAGGTCTTCTCGAGCAGAAGAAGATGAAGAAGCTCTGAAATGGGCTGCAATAGAGAGGCTCCCTACGTGTTTACGTATAGGGAGAGGTTTGTTCATTGATGGTGAGGGTCAAGCTAGAGAGGTTGATGTAGAGAAACTTGGCTTGCTAGAGAGAAAGACTTTGTTGGAGAGGCTGGTGAGCAATGCAGAGAAAGATAATGAAAAGTTCTTGTTGAAGCTCAAGGAACGGATTGATCGGTGAGTTCTTGTGCATTCTATGTGTTTCAAACAATTTAAGAGAGTGGAATTATGTCTTCCACCAAAAAACAGAACAGGATTTAACGTTAAATGCGACTTTGTTGATGGAACTGTTTTCTGTACAAGTTTCAATAATGTTGAATTACTTTAATTATGTCTTTGGGAGCATTTTGGTGAGGTATTTGTGTTGGTTTTTCCCTTTTTTCCCAAATCTAATTACAGAGTTAGACTTGATGTGCCAACAATTGAAGTTCGGTTCGAGCATCTAACTGTTGAGGCAAAGGTTTATATTGGAAGCAGAGCACTGCCCACATTACTCAACTTTGCTATCAATATGTTACAGGTAAATCTTTTAGATCACATAAACATAAATTCTATTCTAATTTTAGTAATTATCTTTCCCAATCCCCACCTCATGAAACTCCCCCTTGGTACAGGGCATGCTACATTATCTTTACATTTTTCCAAGTAGAAAGACACCTTTAACAATCCTTCAAAAGATTAGTGGCATCATCAAGCCTCAAAGGTGAGTTAGCCATGTTTTTCAAAAACAA